CGTGCCGGTGGAGTCCAAGTCAGCAGAACTGGTAGGACATCCTAGTTAACCTGTGTTTCTCTCCCTCTTTCCCTGGGTTATTCCTTTGCCTTTCTCCTTATAAATAAATCCATTATTTAGCCTTTTGAGTGTGTCCATAATACAATTGAATCTTAAGCGCACGGGTGAAGACCCACAGACAGGCAACCCAATTCACATTGGGATGCCTTGTAACAGTAAGGCCTTAAGTTCTAGAAAGAAATGTCAGAGGAGGAGGACATCTGAGAGCAGGGGTGGGGAAGTGGGTTAGTGCACAAGCAAACTTCCCAGGACCAAAGAACTCACTTCTCTGCTGCCATCACAAGCAGGAACTTGCTTTCCTCTGCCCCGCCAGCCTTCACAAAGCAGCAGGCATTTCTTTCCTTCTAGTTCTGGAGACTGGAGGTCTAAGATCAAGGTTTTTGCTGATGTGGTTTCTGTGGCAGACTCTTCCTGCCTTCTTGTATATCTTCAAGTGGCCTTTCTTTAGTGTCTATATGGACTCGCCGGTGTCTCTTATAAAAACGCTTCTAGGAACACTAATCCTGCAGGATTAGAATCCCACTCTTATGACCTTATTTAAACCTTATTTAACCTAAATTGGTTCCTTCAAGACTCCATTTCCAAATGCCACCACATTGGGTGGGGGTCACCCTGCAGCCTGCCCTGCAGTTGGGTTGGAGCCTCCATTGCAACTTCAGGGGGTTCAGTCTCCCCCTCCGCCATATCTTGTGCCCTCCCTCATAGGTTCCTGAGTGCATGCGCAATTATCCTTCTACACATTTAGTCAGTACATATCACCAAGAGGGTACCAGGGACCCCAAACTTAAGGGGTATGCTCTAAAATAGGCCCTGACATCTGCTGCATAAAGCTCTCTTAGTGTGAAAGCTTTAATAGACAAGTGTGAACAGAGAGGGGAGGGAGAATATTCTTCACAGTAGTTTCTGATTAAAACGCCAGAATTGAGCCTCATAGGAGGAAGGGCATTTCTTTCTCAGAGACAAAAGGGAAGAGGCAAAATGGAGAAGAAACATGGAAGATGAGGTAGGGGTGTTGAGAAATTCTGTTCTGAGACAAGACTTTAAGATTGTGAAAGCTTAAACAAAAATGTTTACATAGACACTAGAGGAGATGTAATTGTCAGAGATCCAGGCTCTTGTTGGTCTGTAATTCTTAACAAGGTTTCTACCTACTTCATCATCTAGGATGGCTGCTTAAGAAATCACAAAATGAACACTTATTTTTTCATCTCATTGATGAAAGAGTGAAGACCTGGACAATGGACACAGGAGATGTAGCCTTTATGATAGGTGGCACGTTCCCAGCCAGGACTAGAGGTTTTAATGACTAACTACCAAGATCAAGGAAAGGAAGGTGAAGGATATTAGGAGACAGTAATAGATGGCCATCTGGGAGTGGGGTTCAGCAGGTGATGAGTGCACAGGATTTGGTGAGCTGGGCCCAGCTATTTCTCCAGTGGTCCATGGGGAGGTGGGTGTAGAAGGGAAATCAGAGACCAGGAATTAGTTGATGAATAAAGTATGATGGGGAGAGGGGTCCCTGGAAGGGGCCAAAGCTTCCTTGAGTGATTGCCCGAGGGGTCCAGATTAGGCAGAAAGCCAATTGCAGGCAGAAGAGACTGAAGAGATAAGGGAGGCAGAGGAGTTCCAGTGTAGTTTTTTGAGCCACAGCTGCAGTGGGGGTGGGGCTGGAGTTTACAGAGCTGAATAAGTTTCCTGGGCTGCTATTTAGGGAATCTGAGTAGAGATTTGGGGTGAAGCAGGTGGGCTGGGTCTTCAAGATGGAGGCCTGTTACATCAGCTGTCTTGGCTTAAGGACTTTCTCAACTGTGGAAACAGCAACAGGTGAAAGTCTTCGGGACTAAAGGGGGAAATAATTGAAAGGATGTGGCAAATGTGTGCTGCGGGTGAGTAGGTGTGTCTCCAGAGTGTGTGTCTCAGAAGTGAGACCTTTTCAAGAGCTGGGACTCAGAACTGGAAAGCCATCAAGAACATTACCGCCACCTCCCACCTTTGGTATGCCTCACATTTCTGATTAAACATACATTTTCATTTTCATGAAAATGAGTTCATGATATGGGAAAAATAAAGGGGATTTTCTTTTCTCAAAACATTTCTTAGGAGGTTTTTCTTTTATTAAGTATAAAGTAAAACATGTAGATACTGCAATAAGTGAAATAATGAAAAGATGAATTAACCAAATTAAGCAGCCCCCCTGTTCAAGACTCTTCTCACTGAAAACTCCATTGCTTTAGAAAGAGACAAGCATGAAAGCCTTGGCCTCCTTAGTGCATGCTTGGGCTGGAAGAGGATCTTACATGTTCCTTGCAGCCTGTAATGCCTTCTGGGAAGTGACTGGCAGGGTAGGAACTAGAAGATGGGACTTTTGACCTTGTGACTCACTTCTCTCAAAGGCCCCCTGTACACCAGTACTTGCTGCTGCTACCTCAGGCTTCAAAGCTGTGTGATTTTGTGTAGGCCTGCGATTTCCTTAGTTATTGCTTCATCACTCTGCATTTGGAATCCTTTCAGTTTCCAGTCTTACACTCTTATAAAGGGTCCTCTGTGAACATTTTGGATAAAATGTTTCTTAGCTTCTGGATTATCTCCCTGGTGGTATATAGCTCGGAATGGTAATAGAGGGTCAACGGACCCAAGTACCTTCAAAGTTCTTGTAGCCTGTGGCATAGATGGTTAGAAGGTATTTTAAGAGGATTTCAGCATCTGCTGACCTGTTAAAAGTTATTATAATCTACTTACTGTTTTTCTTTATTAAAATTCCATCCTTTCAGGGAGGAAGGTGGGTGAAGGAACATACTGCGTTTGTGTTAACAGGTGTAGAAGTGAAAAGCAGCAATAGTTCATCTAAAAAACCCCAAAGCACTGACATATGCTTCTAATTACAAAGGAGAGGCTATTTTAAAAGGGTTGTTTGGTTTTGACTCTGCTATTAAGTAGCTCTGAGACTCAATTAGCCCCCACATGAATGCAAATGGTAGGAAGGTCTTTGGTTTCCTTTTGGCTGGAATCTCCCAACCTCTGCCTGGAACACTGGGATGCTTTGTTTCCTCCATCAGCAAGGAACTGAGGGACAGATGTTGTCCTACAGCCCCTACAGAGGGCTGTGTTCCTCTGACCACAGCGTGGTCTGCTCCACCCTTGTGCCACTTAGGAATATGAAGGCCATAGGCATGGTAGCCATAGGCTCCGTGTGGACACTAATGCCAACCAGTGAGCCATTCATTTTAGGAAAATCTTGCAGCAACCTCTCAGCCCTTTCACATTGCCCACTCTGGTAGACACTTCCCCATCCCAACCCCTAGTGAGAAGTAAGAGCTGCAGTGTGTGCTTGGTGGTGGAGGAGAACCTAAGGCTCTGAGACATCTATCTGTGTGCTGTTCCTCAGACAAAAATCACAGACTGTCACAGCTAGAGGAACTTTGGGTTTGCCCCTTCCGGATCAAGTGTGACCCTGGCAAATGTCTTCCCCTTTCTAGGCTTGTTTCCCTTTTGGTACAGCGATGGAATGGGGCTGAATGACCTCTAAGGCTTGAGATCCCCCCACCCTTTCTTCCCTTAGGAGACTTGTCTCTTGAGGGGAGAGGGTCAGGCCAGCCTCAGCTCAGACCAGACAAGGCCAGTCACAGGAAGAGAGCAAGGGGCATTGTGTGGGCCACCTATGCCTTTCTGGAATAAGGCGTAGAGTGGGTACTGAATATCTTGGGGACACTTGCTTCTCCAGCAAGATTACCAGCCTATTTTTAGCCAGGTTCTCAAAATTGGGCTGCATTTCTTGATCCCTTCTCCAGTGGCTTAGGTACTTCTTACTCTCCCCCATATTACTTCTGTAGTGGAGGAAAAATAATTTTCCCTCTATGCTTCTAGGTTTTTTTTTTTTTAAATTTTTCCCTTCTAGGTTCTTGACTGAGACATTCCTTGTAAAAGACTAATAGGAAAAAACAATTCCATAGATGTAAGGACTGAGATGGGGACCTGGGGTTCCAATGGGGGGAGGGTAATTCTAAGGAAACAAGGCTCTCTCCTGATACCTCCAGCAGTTGCTAAGCAATGCATGGCTGTAATGCACGACCCAAGTGGCACATTTCAGGGAGGCCTGTTCTGAACCCCTTCACTCCTCAACCCTTTTCCTTTACCAGACCTGGCAGAGTCTTGTTTATATAGTACTGAGAAACCTGCTGGTATGTCAGGTGGGAAGTGATCTCTGATAAGAAATGTTAACAGGGAAAACCAGGGTCAGGAATGAAGCAACATGCTGACCCAGCCAGATGAATCCTATAAAGATGAACTTGGGAGGCAGCGTGGGTGGAGTGGTGAATTTGAATTTTGACTATAAGAAATTGAAGTCGTTAGCTTTTTTGAGTTGGGGTTCTCTGTACAATGGCACTAATGGTTTTAAAATGGCATCTCATAGAAAAGAAGTGATTTAAAGGATATTTTATAGATATAATCTCTAACGTTGACTAATTTCTTAGTTTTTTAAAAAAAATTTTCTCCCACATCGCTCCCTCCCCCTTCCCAACAGGTTCTTCCTCATCCTGTGCTGGGGAGGAGGGGGGTGAACAGTGGGCTGGAGGTGGGAAGGAGGAGGGCCCTCCCCCGGACCGAGCTGGGTGAAGAGTGGACTGGAGATGGGAGGGAGGAGGGCCCTCCCCCGCGGCCGAGCTGGGTGAAGAGTGGACAGGGGGTGGGGAGGGAGGAGGGCCCTCCCCCGCGGCCGAGCTGGGTGAAGAGTGGACAGGGGGTGGGGACGGAGGAGGGCCCTCCCCCGCGGCCGAGCTGGGTGAAGAGTGGACAGGGGGTGGGGAGGGAGGAGGGCCCCCCCGGCGCTCCCGGGTCCTGACGCGCAGGCGCCCTGCGCGGCGCTGAGTCAGGCTGCGAGAGCTCGGGCGGCCCGCGTGGGGCGGGGCTTGCGCTTGCGCGGTGGGTGGCTTCGGGGTGGGGCAGTTTTATATTCACGGAGTCAGCTGACGCTCTGCATTGCAGACTGCGGAGTCAAGCGGCGTCATGTGCACCCTCTTCCTTCTGGCCAGCCTGCTGGCCGCGGGTAAGCCCTGCGACCCCCCAGCTGGGGGAAGGGTCCTCCACAGGACCGGGCCACCCGTCCCGGAGTCTGGAGCGGGCTGTTCCCGGGCCTTGTTTGCTGTTGGAGTTGGCGAGGGGCGCGCACTGCGCAGGCGCACGCGGTGCGCCGGTACCTGCCCAGGCCGCCGAGGGCCCGGGGCCGCGGTTTAGGTCGGGGCGAGGGCTAGGCTGGTGAGGCAGAAGAAACAGCGTTACCGTAATGGCTCCAGTTAGTGCTGGTGAGGGGCCTTCCCTCATGCTGCCCTTCCGCTACGCAGGTGGGCTGTGGCTGACCCCACCGGCAGCTGGTGTATTTGCTGAGCGCACGTGATCGACATGGACCGGGCCCTGTCCCACGGGAAACACATTGGTCCCTGGCCTCGTTTGCCCCAGTTTTCAAGCATACCGGAGGTGTAGGAAGCAAAGTGTGTCATTTGGTGATTGTTTTTGCATGCACATGTGCATTTTGAGTCTACATCTTGAAACAGGGATTTTTTTGTGGTCCCGTTGACTCTCCAATGGAGCCGTCCTTACACCTGCTGTAAAATATCTTGTCCAGCCCTTGGCCAGTTTTAACAGTGGCTTTTATTTTGGGGAGAATATAAGTAGGTAAGAAACTACAGGCGTAGTCTTTTACCTGCTTATTCCCCACAATAGTTTTTATGCGCAAAATCTCTGCAGAGTATGAAGACAATGCTTGGAAACCAGCCATTCTGCCTTCCTAGAATTAATAGCTCCCCCATCTTTCGGCTCTTGCCTTCACATCTTAACCTCATTTAAATCATCGTGGAAAAGAGAAAACAGTGAAATTTAGTCCTTGTCAAAATCCTATAGTTTGATAGTTGGAGGGCCAGATTTTAATTTATATAGCGAGAGGCTCCCGAGTCGAGGTGTTTTCAGATAATAGTACATGAAGGGAAATAAGTTTGAGCTTTAAAGCCAACCTCGTTTCTGTTGGGGTTATCTTCCATGTCAAATAGTCATGCAGCCATCCACACAATAACAAAATGGATAGCAGACTTGATGGAGAAGTGGAGAAAGATTCTTACAGATTCTCAGCAGCTCCTAACAATGTGTAACCTAACTCAAACTCAAACTTGTAGATAGAAAGACCGACTGCTTATAAATGACTTTTGGGTTTTATAATAACTGAAGAAAATTTGGTTCTTTGTGTTACAACAAACTTGCTACCTGACCTTTAGGATTATACCAAGTTCATGCTAGGAACAGTGCTAGGAATATCCACTTGCTTTGACACCGATGGCCCACTGTAAATTTTGAAAGTTATTTCTAAAACTTTAAGTAATATTAAAGAGTTTGTTAATGAAGTTGCCTAGTGATTGCGCCTACCTTCCCTAGAGGTGCTTAGAACTTGCCTTTCCAACATGGCGCTCCTGTCCTCTCGTGTGTCTCTAAATCTGAAGAAGCTTTGTTTTGTGTTTTAATGATGTCCTAGTGGAAGAGATAACTTGATATTACTTTTCTACTCAATTCAGTTGTCCCTCCCTTTTCCCCACCTGAGAAAGAAAAGGAAGTGATGGTTTTCTGAGAAAATTAGAGAACATATAATCTAACCTCCTTGTAAGGAATAAAGACACAGACCCCCAGAAATGACCACCCACCCAAATCATAGGCCATTTACTGGGGAAGTCAGCATCAGAGAGTAGGACTCCTGACAGTGCTTGCTCTTTCCACATCCTTCCATGGACAAGTACCTCTTAACCCTTTACAAACTTCCTGGGTTCTAATTTACACTAAGAAAGCAGCTTGTACATAAGTAAGTGTATACTTGATAAATTACCACTGGGTGAATGAACATACCCACTGTAGGTAGCTCCCTGGAAATCTGAGATGTCTTACCCCTTGCTCACTTGTCCCAGAGGAAACCATTTATTTTGTCAGCCTCTAGCACAGAAGAGATAAAAATCTAGTTGCTGTTTTTGAAACTTATAATTGAAATCATAGAGTAAGAACATTCTGCTGGGTCACTCCAGTGGAAAAAGGCAAGTCTGGTGTTAATGAGGTGATACATACAATGCTTGAAGCTTGGTGCCCGGGATGTAGAAGGTGCTCACTGAAGCTTAACCTCTGCTGTTTCTGTAGCTCTTGTGATGGCTAACCAAATGAATTGTGTGTGCTCTGTGCTGAGGCAGGTAAACCCTCTAGGGATGCTAGAATCATTAGGTGCATCTTGAGTATTATTTATATTGTGATCTAAGACACGGTTTTATAGCATAAACTATTGAATTTCAACAGAACTCAAGTTCTCACCTGCCAGGAATTTCGGACAAATACCCTGTTTATCATTCAGTTGTCAATGAATATTTAGTTTTATTCTGTGAAAATATGAAGTCATGAAAGGTTTTTGTTTTGCATTAATGAAGCAAGGATTTAAGTGATTTAATTGCATTTGACAAGTGTATCCAATACTTCCTCTGAGTGTTGAATTGTACTTGAGTGGTGTGGATTTTGTTGAATCAGAAGCTACTCCTCCATTGATATGTAAGACTATAAAATAGTCTGACTGGGATTTTACTGAATAGGGAAGAGGAAGTGTGAACAAGTTGCTGGCTGGGGAAAGTACCTAATAACGCATCGGGAACTCTCAAAGCCAAGACCAAGCCTTTGGGGCACATATCAGTTACATCTTCTAGCATGGACCTTCTACATTCACTTGATAACAGGCTGTAAGCCTTACTCTGAATTCCTATTTGGTATTGCCACCAAGAGGGCAGGTCTGGATATGTTCTAATATCAGATGGACTGCTAATTATATTACCTGTCTTATTTTTTTTTTAAATCATTTGAAAACAATGGTAAATACAGTGTTTGGGATGAAGAATTGGGCTCTTATAAAAGTATCAGTTGTCTTTTATTTCTTGAAGTTCCAGAAAATGACCCCATTACTGCCCTAGTTGCCACCATTATGTTAAAGATTAATCTATCCAAATTCCATGTATTCCTGTAGAATTTGGAATTCTTTATGAATGGACTAAGATGATACTGTGGAATAGAAGTTGTACCTGACCTTATTGCTGAGAAGTAGCTATATGATCTGATCTTGCGCATGTTGCTTAAATTGAGCTTCTTCATCCGTTATATGGGATTAGTAACCATTCTTGTCTAATTAGGTTGCTATGAGTTTATATTAAGTCACCTTATAACTTACTTGGCTTAGGTGGAAAATACTCTGAGGTTTGCTGCTATACCACAGGTCAAAAATAAGTTTGACCATGCTCTTGACCCACGAGCACAGCCACCTGTTTTTGTAATGTCCTGTTTTTGTATTTCAAAGGATCTTTTTAAGTTTAACAAACATAAACAGAATTACATTGATTTATGTAGCTGGACATAATCAGGAAGACAAAGCCGAGTAAATCAGTAGTCAGCAATTTGGAAGGAGGTGGTAGTCTATACTCTAGGAAGTTGAGCTTTGTATGGAATGGATTTAAGAGAGCAGCCCAGCAGATCAGGGCTGATTCCTGGTAACCTGAATACTTAGATTCTAGGCCCATTGTCACTAACTGTGGCACTTGGGGTAAGTATGTTCAAGCTATTGCGCTTCCCCTCCCCCCACCGTTTTCTCTTCTGTAAATTATAAGTGAATGATTTAGATTGTATAAGAGCTGCATACAGTAGATAAGTTCAGGCAGCATAAGTGTGTATAGTGAAAAGTATGATCTTCTAGAACCACATACTATGTAAGTGGCTATGTATGTGATTCTCTCTCACTCTACACCCCCTTTTTTTTTCTCCCTCCCTCCATTGTTTTT